ACAAGTAGGCAGAGAGGCAGGCAGAGATAGAGGAGGAAGCAGGCTCCCTGCTGAGCAGAGAGCCCGATGCCGGGCTCGATCCCAGAACCCTGAGATCATGACCTGAGTCGAAGGCAGAGGCTTAACCCACTGAGCCACCCAGGTTCCCCCTATCTCTGTAGTTTTGAATTGAGGAAAATTCCTTAGGGCTTCCTGATACCTTTTATGACTCATGTGTCCCAGATACTCCTTTAAGTATCTGTTTCTTCTTCGCTTCGTTGACCAACATCCCGTTAACGTCCTTCCAGCTATAATTCTCCTGGTATCTGGTTTCTAAACCTCAGGGTCAGGCTCATCAACTCTTGAGGAGCTGTTTTGCTCGGTTTCTTATCAGTTCACTAACGGGACACCTGCCAAATGTAGCCAGAGCACCTTTGTGCTCAGTAGGGCTCTTACTTCCCATGTTTGGGGTGAGACAGTGGCAAGCAGAAACACCTCCAGCCTGGGACTGACGTTTCTCTGTGGAAGATGAGGTCCACTCATCGGCGCAGATGACACACAGGCACAAAGGCATTCAGATGTGTGAGGGACGGTAGAGAGATGACAGCCTCCAGGGTAAGTGCAAAATGTTCTGGGTTTTTTGTTTGGTTGTTTTTTTAAGCTGAGACTTCCATCCCATGGGGAACACCTTCTTGTGAGAAACAGCTTCCATTAATTAATAAAGGAAACAAAACTCAGAAACTGTATCCCATTGCCCACAGTCCCACGCTTAGAAGGACCCCATACCGTCTTCAGCGCTCTGTTGTTGTGATCTTCAAATTCTTAATAATATTTGAACCACAGGCTCTGCAAATCACGTAGCCAGAGCTGGGCATGATTCTGTATCTTCTGCCGTGCTGGTTTCATTCTAGCACAATCACACATCTGGGGGCTCAGTGAATCCGCATCTCTGGGGGCTGGGAGAGGACACAGAAACTAAAACCGGAACCTAAGGGAAGCCTGATGTTATAACCATAATTTCAAGCCTTGAATTGGGACCTGGCAGGCCCAGGTGTGGGTTTCACATCTGTGCCTGGGACTTTTCTGGTCCGAGAGACAGAAGAGCACACAATGCACGACAATGGTGGCAGGGGAGGCCGGAAGAGAAAGGGGGATTTTTCCAGGTCAAGGCTCGTGTTCTGAGGGTTCGACACTGGGTCCAAGCAAAAGGAACCCTTCTGCCAAGATGGAATGATCTCTCAATGATGTCACCATTGCCTGTGGCCTGCTCAGCCTCAAGATGCCATGTGTGAACAGGAAGCCCAGCTACGTATGCATCTGATAGGAACACAACATAATTTCCTTGGAGATGAAGACTTTTGGTCAAAACTTCATTATAAAATAATTGGAATGAATGGGTTCAGGAGAGAAGAAATTAACTAAAATGAATAAATAAATTTTATAGAAACAACTTCAAGCAGCTAGGAAGAGCTTTCGATGATCATTTTATCAAATCATCTATCTGCAGATAGAATTGTCCCGAACATGGATCCTGTATCACACATGATTTCAAGCATTTCTTAACCATAGAACTTTGTAAAAGCACCTCCCTCTCTTAAATATATTTAGCTGTGTACTAAAGAGGAATTGTTTTAATGGGTAGAGACCTTATTTTTTTTTCAGATTTTATTTATTTACTTGAGAAAGAGAGAGCACAAGGTGGGAGGGAGAGCAGAGGGAGAGGGAGAAGCAGGGAGCCCAGCATGGGGCTTGATCCCAGGACCCCAGGAGCACAACCTGAGCTGAAGCAGATACCTAACTGACTGAGCCACCCAGGCGCCCCTAGGTAGAGACTTTAAATATCCATTAAAAAGATGCCTGAGCAAAAATAATCTATTGCAATAGAAATCATATCATTAATTTGTCAGGGTTGGAGACAGGAGTTGCAAAGGGGCATGAGGGAAATTTCTGGGTAATAAAAAATGTTCTATAGCTTAGTGTGGGGGGTGTTACATGGGTATATATTTATAAATCGCCAAAAAAAACATTGATCTGATCATTTAAAGTGTGTAATGCTTATTGTATATAATTCATTTGTCAATAAAGTTGATGTCAAAATATTTGAGAAGGGATGTCATGTGCTCTAGTTAATTTCATAATGAATCATCAGGCATAAATATTTCCATTTCTGTGCCAGCTATAGGAGTTCTAGGTAAAATGTGTCCATACCCACCTTTGTACAAAAGAAACAGTGGAAAAAGCTGTCAGAGAGATTAGCAAAAGGAACCAAGATATCCAGATTCTTACTATGTGCTTGGTAGGTATTTTATGCTTATTAAATGTTTATGTAGCCCTGGAAGTTGGTATGATAGCTAGTTTTATGTGTTAACCTGACTGGGCCGTAGGGTACACAGATATGTGGCTAAACACCATTCTGGGTGTTCCTGAGAGATATGATTAATTTTTAAACAGGTAGATTTTTTTTGGTGGGATGTTGGTAGGAATAATTTTCTGATTTAATAATTTGAAAAACATATTTATAAACCCATATACGTAGAATAAATGGAAAGGTATGGAGAAGATGGTCCATGATAAAAAAAAAATTGTGGGTCTGTTTCAGTCCATCCCAGCTTTTATGTAGTCCCTCACTTGTTGATTCAATCTTTTTTTTTTTTAATTGAGGAGACTTGATCATCTGACCACAGTGTCTCTGAAAGCAAGAGCCCAGAGCTCTGTTTCTTTCTTTTTTTTTTTAATTTACATATAATATATTATTTGCCCCAGGGGTTCAGGTCTGTGAATCATCAGTCTTACACATTTCATAGCACTCACCACAGCACATACCCTCCCCAATGTCGATAACCAAACCACCCTATCCCTACCTCTACCCCTTAGCAGCCCTCAGTTTCTTTCCTGAGATTAATAGTTTCTTTTGGTTTGTCTCCCTCTCCAGTCCCATCTTGTTTCCTTTTTTTCCTCCCTACACCCCATGACTCTCCTGCCCTGCCTCTCAAATTCCTCATATGAGTGAGATCATATGATAATTGTCTTTCTCTGATTGATTTATTTTGCTTAGCACAATACCCTCTAGTTCCATCCACATCGTTGCAAATGGCGAGATTTTGTTTCTTTTGAAAATAGGTAGATATTAACATTAGGTGAGAATAACCTTTTAATCAACAGAGTAAACCAGATTGCCATCCATAATGTAGGTGAGCCTCATGCAATCAGTTGAAGACCTGAATAGAACAAAAAGATGGATTCTGCCCCAGGTAAGAGAGAATTGTCCAGCTGATGGCCTTCAAACTGGAGAATCAGCTCTTCCTGCTTAACCTCTGAACTTGAATCTCTGCTCTCCCTGGGTCTCTAGCACCACTGGCCCAACTTACAGATATTGGACTTGTCAGCCTCTACAACTATATGAGCTGATTCTCTATAATACCTAAATTATACACATACGTGTGTGTGTATGTGTGTGTGTGTATTCTGCTCTGTTTCTCTGGAGTACTCTGAGTGATACTGATAGATATTACTACTCTCATTTTAACCGTGAAAATTCTCAGACCATCATGCCAAGAAACTGGCCTCGGGTCTTGACTAGCAGGTTGTGCTGGAGCTGGAACCTAGAGCTGAGTGTATATAGAGCTCCTAGTCGGATGTCTTTCTCCACACCCCTTTATCCTGGGGAACTGATCTCTGTCAATGATTTCATCAGAGCCAGCCAGGCTGAAAAGGACATGGAGGAAAATTCTGGCTTTGAGGGCAGGTGTCTCTATGAATATGCATGACAGCATAGAGCTGTAAACACAGCACATCACTCAAGAATCCATCAGAGGGGTTTGAGCCCCACTTCTGCCTCTGACCAGCTCTTTGATTTGCTCAAGTTCTTTAACTTAAGCACAACTCCCCTCATCTTTCAAATGAGAACAGAAATTGCATTTGTCTCTTAGGCTTTTTTTCTTATTCTGATAATTCATGGAAATTTTGCAAATAAAGGACTTTTATTTGGCATGTAGTAAATTGTCGATACATGACAGTGCTATTTTCTTTTGGGAGTCTCCACCTGCTGCAGAGCTGAACTGTGTCTGGGCATGCGTATATTGGGCCCTTGGAGTTTTGTGAGTCACTTGCTCTCCTGGAACGGGGGACCCAATAGAAATCACCAAATATTTAAGATAAATATTATGCATTTATACTGCAGACCTTAAAACTCTCAAAGGCAAGAAACATACTAAACTAAAAAGAACATACTAAGCTGCATTTTCTATTTTAAGTGATATAGTACTTTACACAAAGTAGGGGACCTCAAACTGTGGAGTGAAAGAAAGGAAGAAATAAATAATGAGTATCGATGGTCCTTTCCCTCATGGTAGATGGCAGCGTGTATGGGAACACCAAGCTTTTCCTTGTACACATCCCATTCCTTCTGCTGTGCAGCTGGACGAGCACATCTAGAAACCTCCCTACTCACACAGCCCCTATGGGAGACATGACATGACCTAGGTCCATGCCCTACAGAACACTGCCCCTTTCTCTCTCTCTTTTTGTTATTTTTATTTTGTTGTTGTTGTTACAGGGAAGGATCAATGGCTATTCTTCGCCTTGAAGTCACATTCCTTGAAGTTGTCAGAGGGGAGGTTAGGATCATCACCTGTGGCGGGTGATCTTTCCCACCCTGCTCACCTGGACCTGGGAAGGGAAGCCCGGGGAGGGAACAATTCCATAAGGGGGCAAGGAGCCCAGGTGTCAAGGAACAGAACTGTTCCTCGCTCTGTCAGTTCTGAAATAGAAGACCCAGGAAAGCTACTTCCCCTCATATATGTAAACAGGTAACATGATACGTATCTTGCATGATTTCTGTGAGCTCTAAGACGTGCCACACACATAAGCAGCAGAATGAGCATTGGGGAGAGGCCCATCTGCTTTCCCAGGGCCCAGGCCACTGTGGCTGGCACCGCCACCCTTGCCATCACTTCCTGACCTGGGGGTTGTGGGGAGGATTTTTGTACAGTAGGCTGCTGATCGCGCAGGGCTGTGTTCACTGCTGGCACAGAGATACAGGGCTGAGTCTTCCAACTCCAGCAAGTCCAGGTCCAGCTAAGAGCTGTAGTTACTGAACTGTTGAGCTGAGAACCGTTCCGGCATGTCTCCTTTGTCTCTCTCTTCCATGTTGTAATACTGAATGAGAAACCGGGGGCCCTGGCCCAGAACCTGTTGGTACCAGTACACAGATAGATGTCCAGAGACAAGGGAACATCTCAGTGTCACTTTCTGTCCTCTTGTTTTGATCAGGTGTCTTGGAGTTTGGGTGACCCCAGATGCCACTGGGCCTGTTGGGAAGGAGACAGAAAGAAGCTGAGCACAGAGCATAGAGGGAGGCCTCCTGCTGCAGCCATGATCAGCAAGCCTGTATCACAGGCTGGCAAAACACATCGGAGGCGTGCACACTGTGCCTAGAACTCACCTGCTCCCAGGAGACAAAGCACCACACAGCAGAGAAGCCTAGAGCTCATGGCGCATTGGGAAACCAAGAAAGCACCCCAACCAGGGATGGGGTCTCCTGGAGTGAGCAGCCTAGAGTTCTGAACCTCCCATTTCCCTGATAGGAGTGTCTGCCCATGATGTCACCACTGTGACATTGTTGCTCTGGTGTTACTCTCACTGCCGGTCGCCTTCTGGTCTAATACCAAAGGGCACTTCGATAGGACTCAGGATCAGCTACTCTAGGCGCATTGCTTGTCCCACCCAGTGCCTCCACAAGGGGTGGGTATGAGGTGATCATGTCCTATTATGCCCCCAACACACTTGATTTCCCTTCACCTGCCCCGGCCCGACACTAATTCCCCAGGCCATGGGGCTCCAACCCCTTCACTTTCCACTTCCCATCCAGGAGCAGAGACTACCTCCTTGGTGCATTCTGAGGTTCAAGGCACGTCTCCTCTGCTTGGGCAATGAGGAGCCTGTGTTAGCCCCATGTGTCCCAGGACTCGCTCAAGAATCTCAAACCAGGGGCGCTGGGTGGCTCAGTGGGTTAAAGCCTCTGCTTTTGGCTCAGGTCATGATCCCAGGGTCCTGGGATCGAGCCCCACATCGGGCTCTCTGCTCAGCAGGGACCCTGCCTCCCCTGCCTCTCTGCCTGCCTCTCTGCCTACTTGTGATCTCTGTCTGTCAAATAAATAAATAAAATCTTTAAAAAAAAAAAAAAAGAACTTCAAACCACCTGATGAAGGGGGTAGCCAAGAGTTCCCTTAACCTGTCCTCTCCTGGGCCACTCTCTCAAACCCTCCCGGGGCACCTTGGCTGACTGTGGGGGCACAGTTCCTCCGTGTGGCTGATGGCTCCCTGTCTCACAGGTGGATACCTTCTGTCTAAATCAAGGACAGAAATCCCCCCCACCTACCACTGCTGTAACCACCCCTCACCACACCCTTTCTTCTACTTTCCCAGCCCAGCTGATTTAGGGGTAATCTTCAGATCTACCCTTAGCCTGTGGAGGCGAAAGATGGCCTGAACATTCTGATTACGAAGGAAATAATTGCTACACCGTTGTAACTGGTATGCGATAGTGACAGAAATAAGCCAGAATGCTACGAGCCACAGACACGAGCTCTGATGAACTCATGTGGATCCAGCCCGGAAACACTACGTCCCATGCCCCCTCCATGTTAATCCGATCCAGGTACTTCCAGATTGTGTAGATAAATTAATAATCACCAAATTTTAAATAGTGCATTTTATAAAGAGGGTCTCTCTATTTTACCATTTATTTTTGAACGTATAAACCTGTAAATAAACCCTGTTAGCTCTAGTCAAGGTAGATACAGTAGATACAAGGTAGATACAGGTAGATACAAGGTAGATACAGTGTGACATTTACGATCATTACCCAGAAGTACCTGTGTCCTACGCTGTGACCGGATGCCTCTTAATACATTCCACCCGGGGAGAAGCTATTTCCATTTTGTGCGTCTCCCCCAAAAAACCCACACTCACATGCACACACATGCATAGGCACACACACACACACACACACACACACACACACACCCCCATGGACACAATTACCCTTTAATTTGCAAGGATGTCAAGGTTTTATAACCAAGCACAGCAGTTTTTCTTTATCTGTTTTTCAGATTCATTTCCCAGAAGCACGAGATGTTTCTGAAGACAGAGTGGTGGCTGGTGAAGGAAAATTCTTGACAAGCTCATGATACCAGATACAGGTGACCCTAACATAATTTTCTCCATTCCAAAAGAACATCAGCGTCTTTCAGCTCTAGATTCAATTAGGCTACTTTGCAGTGCTGGTCATCCATCCTGGCTATGAACACAAAATTGTTCAGAGTACTGCAGAAGTTGGAGGGAGAGCCAGGATTGCCTATTACATTCCAGGGGAGCGATCTCTGTAAAGGAAAACGGTGATATTTCATGGTTCTCCTAAGTGGCCATTAATTCATTCATTTCACAAGTGTCAAAGAGTATCAAGTGTTTTGGCTTTTCCTACGAAAGTAAAGAGAGCAATATTGTTGTTATGAACTGATCGTGTCCCCCCTCCCCCAAATTCATCTGCTGAATGTGATTGTAACCCGCAGTGTGAGTGTATCTGGAGACAGGGTCTTTAGGGAGGAAGTTGGGTTAAATGAGGTAACAAGAGTGGGACCCTAAGCCAAGGGAACTGATGTCCTTTGAGAAGCAGAGACACCAGAGAGTTCTTTCTCAGTCCTCACGCAAGCACACAGCGAGAAGGCGATTGCCCATGAGCCAGGAATAGAGCACTCCCCAGAAACAAACCCTATGGGTCCTCGATCTTGGACTTGCCAACCTCCAGACCTGTGAGAAAATAAATGTCTATTGTTTGAACCGCCCAGTGTGTGGTACGTTGTTAGAGCATGCTGAGCAGACCAGTTGAACAGCGCCGTGGGATGTCTGGGCGAGGAGCACTGTCTGAACCAGTCCCTGCGAGATGACTGGTATCTGGCCACATTCGGGCAGCAGGGAAGGGTCTTCTAGACCATGAGAAGAGCCAGAGCAGATGTAGAGGGTTTAAAAGGCTCTGGTGTCTGGGGCCATGTTGAGAAGAGCGATTAGGTCACAGAGTGCGATGCAAATCCAGAAGACCAACATGAAGCCACACTCAGAAGCTGATAGCATCTGGGCCATGATGCATAAGAAGCTTCTGGGGAAGCAGAACGGCTCTGGGGGGAAACTGGAGAGCCTTTGCCTATTTGTGCTCAGGGGAGGCAAGCCTGGGATGAGAAGTCCAGAAGGGAGAGGTCAGAATCAGCTTCACGTTCTCAGCTGTGATCCTGTCCTTGCCAGGACCTGCATGGGACGATGTGGCCGCCGTTAGGCCTCGCTTTGTATTTTCTGAGTATTGAAGACTTGGAGCAGAATGAGAAAAGAGATTTCAGGACAAATCCCATAATTTTTAATAAGTTTATAGCTCTATATTCTCAACCATCTTTAATCATATTTTCTCTTCTAGACTTTCCTAAAATCTCAAAATTTTGTCCATGTACTATATAAAACACATCTCTGTGATTCTACCTTCTAGCTACCAATTTATCAAACAATTTTGAGCCCCAGATGAACTCTCCCTTCTGAAAAAAGGGTGTCAGCTGTGAATCTGTAAATCGTTCGTTTAAGCTTGCAGCAGCCAGTGCCAGGCAGGGACGGTAACTTTGGTGTGACCCACTGGATGCAGCACCACCCTCTGAACAGAGCTTGTTGTCCTGTTGTCCCTGCCCTGAGTGGCTGAAGAGCCAGAGGCCACCCTTGCCAGGGCCCCAAACCATTTCCCTTTCCACTGAGTCCCTAGTTCTCGCGGATCCGTCAGCTCTGAACTTGCTCCACGCTGGGACCGGGAGGTTTGTGCACAGAACGCTGGTGACCCTGGCTACACCAGGTGTTGGCACAGAGATACACGACCATGTCCCAGCCTCTGAGAAATTCACATGCAGCTCAGAATGACAGTCACTCAACTGCCGCATTGAGAATTAATCCCCAGGAAGTGTCTTTTACTCTAATTCATCCTAATATGCCAAGAGCTGGGGGCCCTGACCCAGGTCCTGTTGGACTCAACGTACACTGGGCTGCCCAGAGATAGGGGAAGTGTCGCTTGCTCCCCTCCTGCTTTGATCAGGTGTCTTGGTGTTTGGCTCATTCCAGAATCCATTGGGACTGGGAGGGAAGGACACAGGGGCTGGGGAAAGAACACGAGAGGGAGCCCGATGATGCCACAAACTCAGGTGCTGTCAGGCTTAGAACAGAGATGTCCCCCCTGTTTCAAGGACATACTTGCTCCCAGGAGACAAAGGTCCACACAGCAGAGGAGCCTGCAGCCCATGGCAGGTGCAGCAGAACTGGACAGGTTTCTTCCTGCTCAGAATTCTGGTCCTCCGAGAGCTGAAGATTCAGGCATCCCTTTTCTGGAGTTTAGGTAATAATGCCACTGCTCTGATGTCACTGTCTTTCCTGGTTCCCATGAACCTGGCCATCCTTGCCAGCCTCCTGGCTAGCCTGATCCAGGTGGGGTGAGATGGTCTAGACAGGCTGGGTTTAGGCTACATGCCCTTTCCCACAGCGCCTTTGCTTTTCCTTTGAGGCAGGTGTTCCTTTACCTCTCCCTGCCCAGGATAAGCTGTCTGCCCCCTCCCAGCTCTTCCCTCATTTCCCCTTAAAAGCTCAGAGACACTCCCTAATCACTGCAGAGCTCAAGTTCTGGCACCCTGATGGGAGAGCACCACCACAAATTAATGTTTACAGCATCAAGCCTGTAAGTGGATAAAAGCACCAAACAAGGTTGTTCTTAACCCTCCAGGTCCCAGGTAGCTGGCTGGATCTGCCCCTTGCTCTGTCCCAGCCTCTTTGGGAGCTCTGCAGTTCCACAGTGCCCCCCTGTGGCCCATCGGGGAATAATCAAGATTTTGCCCTGATGCCAGAATCCTGGGGTGTGTTTAAATGAGGGACTCTTTCACTGTTTGCCTGTTGCACTACTTTTTTTTTCTCTCCCCACTCCCAGCCCCGGCAGACCAAACAAACAAACAAAAGACAAAAGATAGCCAAAGCTACATGGTAATAAAAATATAGGTGACTGGAGGAAATGTTTTGCTTTGGAAAAAATTGAGTCAACTTAGGCTAGGTCAGGTTGCATTGCTTAAGGAGGAACTGTGGCAGAGATTACAGAGAGACAGCCTGTCTTTCTTACTGCAGATGGACTCCCAAGGCATTTTGGATGACTAATAATTAACTGAAGTTGTTTTCGCTCTGATGACCCCAGACGGCTTGCTCAGGGCAGACCGTCCAGACAGGCCTATTTGCAGGGTGCCTGCTAATCAGCTCACCCCAATAAGGAAAATAATATGGACTGTTACCCTCCTGCTAGAGAATTTCTTTTTTTTTTTAAGATTTTATTTTTAAGTAATCTCTCCCTGCACGGCGGGGCTGGAACCCACAACCCCAAGATCAAGAGTCTTGCTCCACCGACTGAGCCAGCCAGGCGCCCCTAAAGAATTTGTTTCTTTCTCTTCTAACCTTACTCTTTTATAAACCTTCTTTTTGCCTCTGTTCACTGATAATAGAATGCCCGTTCCCCACATAGGAGGGCATGTGTGTATATGATTAAACTTCTCTAAGCTTTCTTCAATGTCCATGTGGGAAATAAAATATTCTAACGCTCTCTGCAGAATGCTAGGAAGGAGAAGCTAGTCTGGATTAATGCCAGGTAAAAAAAATAAATAAATAAACAGAGGAGTTTGGGAAAACAGAATGGGAGAAGGATTTTAATGCCTAAACCCATCAACTTCCCACCCAGTTGCTACTTCTGACTTCATTTACTTTCAGTGTAAATTTCTTTAAATATTTACATTTGACTTAAGTGTTATTAAATTCCAAATACTGCAATTTCATAGAATGAATATAGATATTCTAATATCATCTACTTCTTGACTTTCTAAATCTGAAGGCAAACAACCGCATCAAATACCACTGCCAATGAGCTATGATCAGTGACCCCCATTGAAGATGCAACCCAGAGGAGGAAAATTCCACCCAGAACAAATCTCCATGGATATAAATCAGATAAAATTATCTCAAGCCCAGATGGCCGTGTTCTTTAACTGAATACTTTTTATGAATTTTGTACATATGTAACTCATTAAAACCTTTTATAACAGCAGCTGATGTGTCTTATGGGGTTTCTGATGATAGATAAGGAGAAACTTCTACACAAACACATAGAAATACACACTATCAGCATATGTTACACTAAGAAAGGATATTTCTATGCTTTAAGGGAGGCCTGGCATTTTTTAAAAAATTCAGTTAGATAGAATTTCTGGATTGCCAATCAGTTTTTAATTATAAATATAAATATAAATCTTACAAATATGTAAGATTGTTTTAGAGGTGCCTGAGACCCAATAATAAACAGCCATTCTATTTCAGACAAGAGGAGCCCAGCTGATATTATAAAAACTGGCTTCTGGATACTACTAGCATTGCAAAATAGCAATATTTCCTGTCTTTTTCCCCAGAGGAACCTTATGAGGCAAGGAGAAAATATGAATACTAGAGACTAACCAAAAAAAAACAAGAGAATATTCTAGAAGGACTAAAGCCTTTGGGGGCTGGATTCCAAAGGAAAGATAACCAAATGGACAATATATATCCCCAGAATGTGAGTTATTAAACCTTATGAACCAAGAATTGAAAACAAGAATGACAAATAATGACAATCTGCTATATAAACAAGAAGGTAGAAGATGTCTAGCACTTAAGAATGCATGGGACCAACTTACTGAAGATCTTAACAGTAACATACCTAACATATTTTGCATTGACATTTCCAACTTTTATTATGGGGAAGAATGTTCATGTCACCTGAAGATAAGGTAAATGAGATAAGATAAAAGAAGACAACGCCTCATATAAATGCTAAGAATTTTTGTCTAGTAGGAGCTTATATAATTAATTATTAGTTTCCTAAAATACTGACTTTTTCTCAGGAGCTCCCCCCCCTTATTTTCATAAAGGCAAGACTTTAGCTGATAAATTTATAATCCAGATAAGATCTGGGAAATTGTCTCTTCTGCAAAAACTAGGTGGAATTTCTTAGAGTTTTCAAAATTGTGGAAATCCGAAACCCTTTCTGAGATTTCTGACCACCCCCAAGGACAATTGTTTTCTTCTAGTCTTCTCTAACCTTGCCACCTCACCTGGCCATGAATCCTTTTTTTATTTCTTCAACCAAATCTTCCACATCAATAATTGGAGAGTTTAGTAGAATTTCCTGAAGATTTGGGATATCCTACAAAGGAGTCATACGGTACAGAAGGCAGATCTTTACTCTTTCTCTCCCATCCTTAATCATGATGGCCCCTTCCCAGACTTTCCAGGATCTCAAGTTCTCCTGCCTACATTATATAGAACAATGCCATTGCCATTTTTCCTTCTGTCTCCAGCAGTTACATTAAAATATTCCCATCAACAATATTCTCCTTCCTAAGAAATGGGGTGAAAGCTATTAAGACGCTAAAATCTTGGTTTTCCTCCATTCAAAATTATGGTTAACTAATTCTTATTTATTTTTTTTTAAGATTTTATTTACTTACTTGACAGAGAGAGAGATTACAAGTAGGCAGAGAGGCAGGCAGAGGCTTCCCCGCTGAGCAGAGAGCTGATGCGGGGCTTGATCCAAGGACCCTGAGATCATGACCTCAGCCTGAGTGGAAGGCAGAGGCTTAACCCACTGAACAACCCAGGCACCCCTTAATCCTTATTTCTTGAGTGGAACTCATCTTTATTCAAAGAATGACTTTTCTAAGTTTTCATTTACACTCTACTTTTATTGTTATGATTAAATGTGTATAAAACACCATTTTCAAATCTACGGTGCAATGGCATTAACTACATTCACATTCTGGAGTTGCCATCACTGCCATCCTTCTCTGGAACTCTTCATCTTCCCCATCTGAAACTCTATATCCACTAAACACTAACTCCCACCCCTTCCTCACCCCAGCCCAGGAACCACCCCCTACCTGCTGTACTATTTTCCACAGTGGTCATGCTATCTTATATTCCCATCAATAGTGCAAAAGGGGTCCCATATCTTTACCACCTCCTCAACACTTGCTTTTCTCTGTTCTGTTCTTCCCTTCAGTGTTATTCATGCTACTGGGTATGAGGTTCTTGAATTTTTTAAATGAGTGGCAATTTACTGTTGCGGCTATTTTAAAAGCACTGCTTTTCTAATCTCCAGTCTCAAGTCAACATCGGTCTCCAAATTTTTGGCAGGTAGTCTTCATCTATAAAATGTACTCATTGAGGAACCACTCTACTTGAAGACAAGACAGTCTTTCCTCACACAGATGGGGTATTAGAAAAACAACATTCTAGCCTTGGCATCATTAGAGGCTGTTAAGTAAGGATCAGGTGAGTCAGATCATGCCCAGGAGACAAGTCTTTAGGAAGTGAGCACAGGGTATGCGCTAACCCCTGATAGTCTCACAGCTCACCTGGGGAGTGGTTCCACAAGAGGTAAAGAGCGCCAACTGAAATTCAACAAGAGGCTTGTTTGAAACTCACAGCTGGTGGGTGAGGGGGACCAGAAAGGGATCCTGGGCTTCCTTCTGGTTGGGGCAGGGACCTCATGAGCAAGGGGCCACCTGTGCTTTCTGAGCTGAGCGGCTATGGGCATGCAGTCTTGTGGACTCACAGACTGGCAGAGAAGGACAGAGAGGTCTGGTTGGTGCTGGTCCACTTCAGAATCAAGGGGAAATTCTCTGTATGTTTTTGAGATGTGTACACTTCAAGCACATCTCTTCTGGCTTTAACTTCAGCACTATCTGACTAATGAATCAGACTTGGAGTTCAGTCCATGGTCTTGTTGATAGCAGTACTTTGCAAAATGATTTGTTTTCTAAGAACATTCTAAGCTCAGCTTCTTTTCCATTTCTATGATAGGTATCTGAGCATCTGTGGGTTCCATCAGAGAAGGCTATATAAGCAAAAGTAGATAGAGGGAAACAACTGTTGTCTTAATGACAACTTCATGTCAGATGAAGGAATGTTCAGGACCTGGAATTGAAAGGCCCATGTCAGGAGTTTCCTTCTGTTTCCTGGACTTACCTGCTCCCAAGAGACAAAAGGCCACAAAACCAAGAAACCTGGTAGCCATGGCAGGTCAGGGAGTGAGGGAGTATCCCCCAGCTTAATATTCTGGGGTTCTTAGGGAAGAGCTGGTAATCTGAGCCTCTTTGCCAGCCAATAGCCAGGTCCTTCTGGGATGCCAATCTTCCTACAGGTTTTTATAGCCCAGGATCCCTTCTTATTTGTCTCAACGTCAGTCATTCTTTCTTTCCTTCTTTTTTCTACAATAGGGCATTGCTCAGTGGAATGGGTCCAGGGAATAGGCTCACACCCTAGTTTCTCTGATCTTTCTTTGAGGGTAATACTCCTCTATATACTTCTCCTGGGAATCCAATAGGCTCCTTCAAACTCACTCACTGTCTACTTTTCTTTCCAGCTTTGAGGAACTTCCCACCTCCTACAGAAAGCCATATTAGTGTTAAAAAGAGAAACAGGACCAAAATGGAGTCATTTATCCCTGAATAGCAAACCAAGACTTAACTAAAGTTTCAGTGTCTCCCAGGAAAGTGCCCATTAACAGTCTCTGAAAATGTCCTGGTCCCCAAGAGGGAGGTCATCTGCACGATAAAAACCCTGCCTTCCCTTGACTTCCAAAGAAAGTGTCCTGTCTTCTGCCCATGTTTTAGTTAGATTATTTGTTTTTTTGGTATTGAGTTGTATGAGCTCTTTATATATTTTAGATACTAAACCCTTTATCAGGTATGTCATTTGCAAAGATCTTCTTTCATTCAGTAGGTTACCTTTTAGTTATGTTGGTTGTTTCCTTTGCTGTGCAGAACACTGACACTAATACGAGGAGATACATGCTCCCCATGACTATCGCAGCATTATTTAAAATAGCAAAACCATGGAAGCAGCCCAAGTAGCCATCGATAGATGAATGGGTAAAGAAGATGTGGTATGTATACAATGCATTATCACCCAGCCATAAAACAGAATAAAATCTTGCCATTTGCAACAACAGGGACGGATCTAGAGAGTATGATGCTAAGCCAAATAAGCCAGTCAGAGAAAGGCAAATACCATATGACCTCACTCAATGTGGAATTTGAGAAACAAAACGGATGAGCAAAGGGGGAAAAGAGAGAGAGAGAGAGAGAGACAAAGCAAGAAATAGACTCTTTTAAAAAAAAAGTCTCCACTTTATTTATTTTTAAAGATTTTATTTATTTGTCAGAGATAGAGAACACAAGCAGGAGGAGTGGCAGAGGGAGAAGCAGGCTCCCTGCTGAGCAGGGAGCCCCATACGCAGGACTCCAACCAGGGATCCTGGGATCACGAGCTGAGCTGAAGGCAGATGCTTAACCCACTGAGCCACCTGGGGGCCTCAAGAAACTGACTCTTAACTATAGAGAACAAATAGTTACTGTAAAGGAGGTGGGTGGTAGTGGGGAGGGGAAATAGGTGGAGGGATTAGGAGTCCACCTATCTTGATGAGCACTGAGAAATGGATAGAATTGTTGAATCACTATATTGTGCACCTGAAACGAATACAACACCATGTTAACTACACTGGAATTAAAATTATTTTTTTAAAAAGGGGTCCTGAGCAGATACTGCCTTGCTTTCTTTTCCTGGCAACTTCCTTGCCCCGTGTTTCCTTCTGTAACAACTTTACATTTTGCACAACTCCTTGGAGCATCTCTCTACTTGCTGGATGGGGTGTTGCATCATTCATGAATTGCTTAATAAAGCCAACTCGATCTTCCAATTCACTTGGCTGATTTTGTTTTTTTTAACACTAGTATTCTTGTAGTGGCCTGAAGATCAGTAACCAATCTGCCTGCTGCAATTACAAAGTTTTCTAACCCAGTCTCCTTGCAACCCCCAGCTCTTTCTCCCCCTTCCTGCAGCGTCTGTGTCTCACTGGAACCACAGTACCTCCTCTTAATAAATATTTACATTGTCAGCTGTTACGAGAAAGTTTCCAGGAATTCCCTGATATCTTATCCTCATTGTCCCTGGAGCCCTATGTGTCCTATGTGATACTCCCAGCTGAGTGCAATACTGACCCCAACTCCTTTGAACAACCATATTGACTTCCCTTCCCCACATTTTGCTTTTTTTTTTAGCAGTGCAAATGAGTAAAGCAACTGGAACTCACATTACGTATGAGAAGGCTAAAAGGTGTCACTATGTGGGAAAACAGTGTGACACTCTTTATGAAGTGAAATGAGCATTTACCATCAAACCCAGCAATCCCATGACTATTTACCTAAGAGAAATAAAAGTGTATGTCCACACCAAAGTCTTGTACCAGAAGGCTGCTTCTGGCAGATCTATTCCTAATAGCCCAAATCTAGAAATAACCCAAGTGTCCATCAACATGTAAATAGATATGCAAATTGTGGTAAAGTCACCCCTCCCCCCAAAATACAACCAATAAAAAAAGCAAAATATTGGGGCACCTGGGCAGCTCAGTGGGTTAAAGTCTCTGCCTTTGGCTCAAGTCATGATCTCAGGGTCCTGGGATGGAGCCCCGCATCTGGCTCTCTGCTCAGCGGGGACCTTGCCTCCCCTACCTCTGCCTGCCTCTCTGCCTACTTGTGATCTCTGTCTGACAAATAAATAAATAAAATCTTTAAAAAAAGAGCAAATTATTAATACACATAATAATAAAGATAAATAACAGAAGTATATGGTAGGTGAAAGATGCGGGTCACAAAAAAGTGTATGGTTTCATTTACACGGAATTCAAGAACAAGCAAATCTAATCTCTGATGATAGACATCAGAGCATTGATTGCCAGAGGGATGGATACTGACTGGAAGGGGACTTAACACCAAGAGGTGATGACGTGTGTCTTGACTGGGCTGGTGTTGCTGGTTTTCCCATTTGACAGAATGTATGTAATTTACATTTATTATTATGCATTTCACTTCATGCAATAAAAAAAATGTATCCCACTATCCAGAATCAACAAACATTAATATTTTAGTATCTGTCCAGACAGAATTCTTCTAAAATTACTTATGAACTATACATGTTATCAGATATTCACAGAGCTCCCTAAATTGACCTTACAAAAGAAGATAAAATATTTGTGGATATCCAAAAGGCACTATTTCTGAGCCCTAACATAGGAAAAGTGAAGTGCAGCCTTATGCCATGGCCTCATTCCCTACATGTCCCTAGGAAGCCCCAGGGTTGTCGATCGTTCTAGAATCATCCTCCACCTTAGGCTGAACCCAACCAGGGTAGACTCCTAGAGATTCCCATTTGCTGAGTTGCACCAGGGACCTGTATTTCCTCCCAACCACCAGGAAAGTGGGCTTTGTATGCTGTTTCCAGGGGTCGGGATTGGGGGAGCGAAGGGCTGCTTGCCACAACATACCTTCTGGTGTCCTGTTCTCTGCTTCTGCACCCCCCAGTGCAGGGCATGCTTACCAACACTGGTGTGCTCAGCCCTTAGTGGTTCCTTGGGGACTAAGGGATGGTGTTCTCAGGCCATCCTTGCAGGAAGACCCCCCAGTAAACCCCCACCTGGGCCACCATGGCCACTGCTCCCAGCACCATTTCTCTTGTTCCCCTTCTATAGCTCTTTGCCCAAGATGGAATCCTCTTCCTACTCAGCCCTCTGAGATGAGACCCAGGGACGAGACACAGGCTGGGTGAACATATGCCCACTTTATGTCTGTTGTTCAAGTGTAATAATAGCACTCCTTCACTCCCCAAGGGGGCTCCCCTTTGGGTGATAAATCATGGTCACCCTAAAAACAGGAGAATGTACAACTTATCTGCATTTTGCATGTTCTCTGCATGGTGTTTCTGTCTTACAGCCCCAGCACACCCTTTCCAGAGGGCTCAGCCACTTCCTGGCGTGAAGGAGAATTCTTGGATTATAGCAGGCTGACTCCTGACTAGGGCAGGCTGACCCTGGGATGGATTCTTCCTCTGACACCCATGGGGTCCCTGCGGTGCACTAACCCTACTTTCCATATCTTGGGGTAGGATATCATCTGTTCAAAGAATAAATGAATGAACTAGTAAATGGATGAATAAGTAGGTGTATAACCAATATGATATACTCAACTAGCCTTGAACATTGATACTAACTTATCTTTCTAGTTGAACACTTGAAGTCTACCTGCCTTACTAACAGGAAGTATAGTATCTCCCTCATAAAGGGCTCCCTACATCATCTCTTCAGCTTAATCTTCAAGAACCCTTGGGTCTTAGCTCCTGAAAAGTCAGTTCTTTACAAGTTCCTCTATAGCCTTGTCCGGTCACTCACTTGGTCATACTTGTCCCATCCTTAGGGGCCACAGCCACATTCCGTGGTGTCTGATAATGTCTCCTCAAGACCATAGCTCCAGGCATCTCTGTGCAACATATCCTATTCTTCAAATTAAAGTTAACTTCTGGGGCACACCTGGGTGGCTCAGTTAGTTGTGCATCAGACTCTTGATCTCAGCTCAGGTCTTTGTGTTTTTTGTTTTTTGTTTCTTAAAGATTATATTTATTTATTTGAGAGAGAGGCAGAAAGAGGATCTCAAGCAAGCAGACTCCTCAATGAGTGGGGAGCCCAACATGGGGTTTGATTTCACAACCCCGAGACCATGACCTGAGCCGAATCAAGAGTTGGACTGGGCCACCTCGGCTCCCTCAGCTCAGGTCTTGGTCTCACGGTTGTGAGTTCAAGACCCATGTTGGGCTCCATGTTGAGAGTGGATCCTACTTAAAAAAAAAAAAAAGTTAACTTCTGACCTCTGCTCCTGGGAAGCTGCTGCAGCCCCACTCTCTTGGGCCGGAAGGGCTGCTGAAAACCTGGTTGCTAAGGAGCCTCCAATTTGTGTAAGGGTGTGGCTCAGTCCCCTATCTGCGCAGCCTGGGGCTTCAGAGCGAGTACGGTCATGAGGCAGGCATCTCGGCTGAGAATGGAGTCTCCAAAAACATCTGCCTTCTCTGAGGGAACCTTGTTACCGATGGGAATCAGTAAGTCCACTTCCCTTTCTGGGGATTGTTGGTTCCAGAAGAAATACAAATGACTAGAAATGGGGTCACACCTCAGAGCCACACTCTCCCATTGTTGTGAGGTAGTGGCTAGGGCTTTGGCTGACTCTAGGGTCCACGTGTCCTCTGGCAGGAGACAGAGGCCAGGAAGAGAAAAAGGCAGAAGTTCTGAGCTGGCCTTAGATAAAGGGGGTGGAATAGGAAAGTCCCCACACTCTCAGGGCTCATTTGTTCCTAGGAGACCAGAGGTCACCCAGCAGAAGAGCATGCTGTCCATGGCAGGGGAGGGGAGGCCTCTCCGCATGGGGCATCTGGGCATTAGTAGTCCAGGGAGGAGACCCTCTGATGTCACCGTCTTGGGCAGCACCCCCAGATTCAGGAGTACCCCCACAGGAGGGAGCAGGAGGCCTTAGTACCGCCGTAGACACAAGATGCTCCCAGGTTCAGCCCCCTGTGTGCACTGGAGCAGGCAGGCCCACAGGCCCCAAGCAAAATTTTGCGACTGCAGAAGGACCCTTGGAGAAGATTTTCAGACCAGCAAGGCCAGAGATGACCTGAGCAGACTGGCAGGACCCATGTTCCTCCCCAACAGCACAGGAGAGCTACAGTCCAGAGACACTGACTGTGACCCAGAGTTCTGAGCCTGATGATTTGACGCTGGGAATAAAGAGAACAAAGGAAGAAGTCACCCTACAAATGTCAGTGTGGAGAAGAGACCTCATGAGGATGGAGACCTGATATCTGGCCGGACATTCCAGTGCAAGGGAGGGAGGGTGGATGGAAATGTAAGTACCCAACCCAGTGTTCCTGGCTCGGAACAGGTGGAAGGAGAGGCCTGTTTCCTATCTGTGTGGCGTAGAGCAGCTGTCTGCAGATTTGGGTTTTGGATCCGGGCTAGGGCTTGAGGGCTGGCCTTGAATAGGAAAAAGAGAAATGGAAGGAAGACAGCTGGGTTATGAAAGAGAAGAACGGGTGAAGACACACACACACATTTCCCAAACACGGGGTCTACTACTGTCCTTTGCAGCTGGCTTGGGCCCGGGGGCCTTGCCTGGAAGTCCATTTCCTGATTCCCCAAAGCTCAGAGCTGGCCTGGTGTGGTGACAGGCCTATGGCAGGGGCTCCTTGGTTCCAGAGGAGAGAGGCTCAGAAACCACAGATCTGCAGAGTCAGGATTCACACACCTCCTTGGAGGGCCCCGCACTTTCCCCTGGTCCCCTGTAGGGATGAGATTGTAGGGTGTGACCTGTGGGAAACCGGTGTTTGTTTGGAGGGTCCCTGTGAAACCTTAAGCCAAATGACCCTATGTACAGCAGGCTAGCTTTATTTCATGAAGAAGAGACATAAAAAAGGTACTTAATCAAGAAGTGTTTATCGTTCAACCAGGTGACAGAGAAGAGTCACACATGGGTAAGAGGCACCTCAAACTCTGAAGATGGGCCTAGATGAGAGAGTAGCCACATGAACTGCATTGGCGGATGGTATCATGGTCTGAAACTTTGCTCAGGGGTCCCCACAGTCCCTGGAGTGCCCCTTTGAGGAGAGAGGAGGGAGCCTTAGTGACAAGGCAGGCATGTGACTCCCCAGGACACAATGCTCTACTCAGCCCTTGGGGTCTGATTACCTGGGCAGGACAGAGGGCCTTTACAAAGGGTAAAGCCAGAAAATATGGGGTTCAGAACGGGCAGCCCCAAGGATACAACCCTGCTCTGTAATGTCAGGGAACGTCCCCTCTGGCTGCCTGTGGTGAGAAACCATCCAGGGGCAGGGGACTCCATGGCTGAAAATGCAGGATGTGAAGACCTGAGGAATGCAGATTAAAGCCCCAGAAGGAAAAGGAGTCAGGCCTGAAAGTGTCAAAGGCTGCGTGGAAGGGAAGGCTGTGTGGATCTGAGTATACGGAGGTGCAGCCTATGGTGACCAGGAGAACACTGATCCATATCTGATGCGGGATGATCAACCACAGTGGCAGGAACTGATGGAGCCATGTGGTGAGGGAGGGAGGTGTTCTGGAAAAGGGCTGAGCCTGTTTGGAGCTGGGACCGGGGCTGAGATCCAGGGTCTCAAATGCATGGAAGGATCAGAGGAAGGTACCTGTTGGCAGGGGATGGGTCAGCTGTGCTGTGGCCAGAGTGAAAAGTGGCCCATGAAAGATTCCCCCGGGCCACGTGCTGACTGGACACTGCTCAGAAGCTTGATGCTGGACCCTTTTTTGGCCTGTGTTCAGCTCAGGCAGATTGGACCGAGGCAGAACCAGGACCTAGGCTGCGGGAGTCTGACTCAGCATCCACTGAACCTACAGGCAGCAGGAGGCTCTGGGATCTCTGGGGTCCTCCAGGAAATGCTGAGCTGAGCGTTGGTGGCCCCCACGGCTTCCTGGTTTGGAGCCCGGAGGTTTGTGCACAGGGAGAAGTTGAAGGTGCAGGGCTGTGTCCTTGCTGCTGGCACAGAGATACAGGGCAGAGTCCTCAGGCTCCAGGGTGTTTATCTGAATGTGCAGCTGGGTGTTGTTTGGGCGATCAGGTAAGAACCGACTGGAGGCAGTCGCATTTTCAAAGAGATCCTTGTAATTGTAGGCAAGCATGAGCTTTGGCTGCTTCTGAACACTCTGCTTATACCAGTACATAGTATTATGTCCCAGATGTTGTTCGCACTTTAGGGTCACACTCCTTGTTGTCCCAGTTACCAGATGTTTTGGAGTCTGGATAACTCCAGGATCCATGGAGACTGTTGAAAGAACAGGACAAAATTCAAACAAAGCCCAGACAGAAGGGTGGTGTTGCAGGCAGAGGGACTTGGCTTGGGGTGCAGGGAGAGCACAACGGAACCCGAGACGTACCTGCTCCCAAGAGACAGAGAGCCACCCAGTAGGGTAGCCTGCAGCCCATGGTGGAGTCAGGGCCCAGGTAGGCATCCTCTAATTAGGGTGTCCCCTGGAGGGTGCTGGGCTCTGGTGTCCTGGGCTTTGGTTGGTGGTTGGCCTGTGATGTCACTGTCCCTGCAGGTTTCCCCAAACACAGGGTATGTTTCTTCCTCCCCCTCTCACACCTTGTCTAGATTCTGGTAGAGTGTGGATTTGCATTGGGTGGGCTGAGCTAATCCTTGGGCAGGTGATCTCATGTATTAGCTACAGTCCTCATTATGTAAACTCTCTCTGTATCCCCTTCCTTCCAAGACCCCTCTCAGCAACACAGCGTTTCTGCTTCAGGGATCTCCTTCCCTACCAGCTCAGGCCTGCAGACATCTCCCAAAAGGTGTTTCCTTCAGTGTCTAAGCTCCATGGAGCGCTTTTGTTCAGCTCTGCGGAAGAGAGAAATTGGAGGCCGTGCTTCCCTTTGGCGCCAGTGCCCACCATTACAAAGGCAGGACTGTGATGCCAGCCAGGATCCAGGCACTGGGAGGGGTAGCTGAAGGGACAAGGGGCCAGGCATCCTCAGCCCCAGTCCTGAGGGTACAGTGCTTGGCTGGGCTTAGAGCAAGCAGGATGCTCAAGAACCACACAAGGCTTCCCAAGTAGGAAAAAGGGAAATTAATTTGAGCATGGTTTTAGATTAGTATCTTTGAGGTATCAGCATCTGATGCTCCCAACTGACATAAGGATGGAGCCCCATGCCCTGCTCTCCCCTCACCCCTTCCTGCAAACCACTCTCATCCCCCATCCAGCCTCTGAGTAGGCAATAGAGCCAAATCGCCCTCTTGTGGCCCATGGGCACATTTCCCGGATGGCAGGCTTCTAACCAGCTCAGAAGCAGCAGTGAAGAGGATGCTTATCCCTCACCCACCAGAGAGGAGGGGAGGGGGGCCCACGCTTGATGGGTACAAGAGTCAGACACCTGTGACGAGCAAAGAAGGAAGTGAAACAGCAAAAAGAGTCGGCAACATCGCCATTCATCCACACTAGGACATTCAACCTCTACTCCTTCTTCTAACATAATAAAGTTTATCAGATTTTCAGTGTGGCCCATAAACAAAAAAATATAAGGGTCAAGGGGTTAGAATTTGAGCAAAGGAGTTGGATATTCTTCCCCTGTCCAGGTTCGGTAAATGACGGTCCTCCGATTCACCACAGTTGGAGATAGAGCTTTCGTAGACAAGAACCTACACTTAACCCTAGTGGAAAGGCTAGCACGGTGACTATCATATTTATACTGCTGCACACGCACTGTAGCAAGAAGACAGGGAATAGCCCTTCCCCGATGAAAAAACAAAAACACGAATAAATAAAATGTTATTGAGTTATTTAGCTCCCAGTCATTAAAAGACCAAGGATTACAAAAAACATTATACTTTCAACTGAAATCCTGAGCAACAAGTGGAAACAAAAGGCTCAGTTGTCCTGCTAATGTAGCTAACATACGGTTTCCCCAAAGAAGGGGTGGGTGAAAGGCAAGTTTAAGTTACCTGAAATAGGGATGTGCCTGAAGAAGGAAAATGATGAAAGGATAATCTAAACCACAGAGAAGAAACAGTGAGGAGACAGAAGGGTAAACATGTAAAGAAATTCAGATATACATTGTCTCTATAAAAGAGTTGTAGCAAATGATGCCTGAAGATCCCAAGACAGCTTGGATGTGGAGCAAAGAGTACTGAAAAGGAACCCTAAGAGTGAGTGTAAGGAAATCCTCTTTCCTCTTGTTCCTTACTGACCTGCATGCACAGCGTGGAAGTCCAGAAAGCTGAGCAGAGGACAGGTTCTAGTAGGCTGCACCACTGAGCAGAGAGTTAAGAAGACACTTGCTTTCAGACCCACTTAGGATGAGAGACACTGGTGAACGTGCTGTGATTCCTCATTGAGATGCCCAAAAGACCATGCACCGGTAATAATGAGCACATGCCAGGACCCCCCAAGAGGGAGGACAAAACTTAAATAGATTCTAGCAAATCCTGCATTCGAAACTGCCAGATTGAAAACTAACGTTCTTCAGAAGAGCATATAGAATCCAGAGCTTCTATTCTATATGGTCCACAATGCCCCCACATAAACCCTTTATAATCCTCCCTGAAGAATATCATAGAAGTCTCCTAACTGTATAATCCATCCCCAACCTCTCACTCTTCTGATCCTGCTGCTACCAGTGTTGTACCATATACAAATTTGCTCATGTCATCTTGCTTCAAGTGGGAACAATGAGTAGCTACTGCCTACAGATCTGTGTCCAAAGTCCTTTCAATGTGTATGAACCCTCCACCACCTGGGCACTGTCTGCCCTGGAGGACTTTTCAAGATGCTACTGGAGCAGAATTGGGAAGAGTCACCATGGTCCTCCTTCTGAAAGGAGGGAGTCAGCAGTGCTCAAGCCCACCCCTACTGGTGCTTATCCCCAACCCTTTGTTTCTAATTATCCCTGTTGCTATGAACTTTCATGCTTCTCCAAATATTTTAGACATTTTTATCTTTATCTTGTTTTCCTCTAAGCTTTTGTTCATGGAACATTTTGAATGAATAGTGTGTTTTCAGTCATAATGTTCATCCAATAAGTACCAATATGTGCAGCAGAGATATTCAAGGCATGGCTCCGTCCCCTGGTTAAGATCTTCGTGCACGGACAGACTAGGTCCTCTCTTGTTTCCAAAATCCTGAGCACTTCAGGGAATTTATTGCTGCAGCTGGTAAGTAGAATTTTGTCAGGCTTGTGTGAGCTAACTGTCGACCCGCCCCATCAGGTATATTGGCAGCCTGTACCAGACTGGGATCTGCAGTCAGGGGTTCTAACAGGGGAAAATGGAGCCTCAGGGTCTAGTGAACCTGTGTCCCCCACAGCTTCCTGGCTGGGCAGGGGGTTTATGCACAGGGAGGTAATGACTTTGCAGGGCTGTGTCTTGGCTGCTGGCACAGAGATACACAGCAGTGTCACCTGTCTCCAGGAAGTCGATGTGAAGGTTTAAACGAGGTTAAATGAGTTTTGTCAGGGGATTCAGGTAAGAAGCATCTTGGAACTGTTTCATTTAGAATGAGTTCCTTATTGTTGTAGATAAACATGACCTTCAGCAATTTCTGGGAGTCCTGCTTATACCAGTACTTGGTATCATGGCCCAACTTTTGTTCACATTTTAGGAACTTCTTATTTCCCGTCTGTGCGATGAGGTGTTTTGGAGTCTGGGAAACTGCCGTGTCCAGGGGGGCTGAGAAGGAAAGGAGAAGAATTCAGACAAGTCCCAGGAGAGAGACAGTGGCTGGACACATGCTGAATAGGCTTAGAGACCCAACGGGGCATCTTGCCACCTGGACCAAGGACTCACCTGCTCCCAGGAGGCAGAGGACCATACAGCAGTGGAACGTGGAGCCCATGGTGGAGACAGACACAGTCCTAGCCAAGCATTCTGGTCTTCAGTGGTAAGAACTAGGCTGTGATTCTCCCTGCCCTGACAGGTGCTCTGCCTGTGATGTCACAGCCTAGAATGACTTCCCCATGCTTGGGGTCTCTGTGTATTTCATTGCCTGCCCTTGTCCCTTTCAATACATTTTACTTTCTCCCCCTTTTAAAGGAGTTTGGAATTCCTGGGGATAGTTTGATGGGACAGCATGTTGCCTCAAGGGTGTATCTCTCCCTCCCTGCATTTTCCCTGTCCCAGATCAGGCCACCTCTTCCCTGTCTCCCCGTTCTGACTCCGCTCTCCAAGTTGAGCTAGTTTCTCTTCTGTAAATCTTCTGCGTCTTCTTCACAGTAATGCAGGATGGTCCCGCTAGGCCTTGGTTCCCTGGAATGTCTGATGTATGCTCATCAGAGGTCAAGAGACCCCCTGTGGGGTCTGCCCCAAGCAGCAATGGGAGACCATTTGCAGGAATGAATGTTGGAAGCAAGCTCTGTTGATGCGTCGCCTTGACGGGGAATAGACTGCAGACTGATCCCTGTGAGGGTCTCTCTGTCTGAGGGCCAGAGCCATGTGGGGAGCAGGTGGTGGCTAGGGAGTGAGAAGTCATTATGGGACAGGAGCAAAGCAGCTGGAGAGGTGAATGACAGCATGGAAGTTGGGGGGAAATCGGGGCGGGATGATTTTGCTGTCCTTGAGCTGTCTAAGGTCACCTTCTCTTTTAGTACAAAATTTATAACCAAATGCTCAGCAGAAGGTTTCTCAACCTCAGAGACATTGCCATATTGGACTGGTAATTCTGTGTTGTGGGGGCTGCTTGGAGCATCCCTGGTCTCTATCCCTCTATCCACTACATGCCTGTAGGGCTCCCCACCCCCAGCTGGGAAAATAAAATATCTCCCACATCCCCTAATTATTCCCGTTGAGAACCCCTGTGGCCTTTGTTCGTTCCCACAATTCCCCCACTTTCAGGGTCTGGAAGAGCTACAGCTCCTCCTAGTGGTCATCAAGGCACACTTCTCAGGTCTCGGTGGCCTCCTGGGCCAGGTAGAGCAGTTGATAAACCCAAGTCAGTAAGAGCTAGGCAGGAGAGCAAGAACCTATGAGCGCCACAGGGAGGGACACACTCACACACACACAAACAGTGTGGCAACACTAACTGTCAACTGCTGGTTAAACTTCTCCAATGACAGGTGTTTCCTTTATTTTTATTTCTTTAAATTAAACACAGAGCAAGCACTAGGGAAACCTTAGAAAACCAAATAGAAACATCCACCATCCTTCCCGGAACACCTAGCAAGCTGAACTTGTTCATAGTAGTGGTGCAAATCACACGTAAGACAATATTCTCACTCTCATGATGCTTATATTCTGATCAGAACCAAAAGAAATGCACTGACTACTCTAGACATATTAAATGGACTTCCACGTGCAAGTCAGAAAAAAATCAGTAGGGACAGTTAAAAACTGTCCTTTATTTGACTTTCCATTTCCTCATGTATAAAACAACAGGCTGAGATAAATAATTTCCAGTGTCTGCCCAGGTTTAACATTGTATGATGTTACCAGAGGCTCCCCTAGATGTTTGCTGGGTGAGTGGGCTAATGCATCCAGTTCCCGAGTACTTAGCTCATTGCACCCCACAGCTTATACGTGAAGCTTTGCACCAAAAGGGAAGCAGGGAGGAAGGGGATGAGCTCATACTCCAAAGACAAAGGATATATCTGGGAAGGCACTTTACCCTGGGAATTACTGCCCATTTATTATCAGTAGCTAGGAAGCCAAGAAGAAAAGGAAGACTGAGGCGGGAGAAGCTTGGAGGACCTCACATGATCTCACTGGTCTGGGGAACAGTGTCTGTGTTCACGGACTGATGACCTGGAGAGGGTCCCAGTGAAGAGCCAAGGCTTGGGGCCCAAAGTAGGAGTGGTGATTGACTAAAAATGAGCACAAAGGAATTTGGGGAGGGAGTGGAAGTGTTTAAGAACTGGATCATGGTGATAGTTGCACAGTACATAAATATATTTGAACTCACAGAGTGTTACCCTTGAATAAAGTAAATATTATGTTGTGCAAATTACGCTTCAGAAAAGTAAAAATACTCCAGACATTATTTTCGGAACCCAAATGATCACATACTAGGAGCAAAGTGAGCAGCCATCCAACAACTGAAGTTTTGCTTCAATCCAGCTCAATTATCCACCAGATTAAGAAGTCCTGCCCTGACCAAGATATCTTGGTGTAAGCAAGAAGGAATCATCCCTATAAGAAAATACATCATCCAGGACTTCACCGGATCTCTACAATTTCTCATATACAATATCTGGCATTCAAACATATACTATCTGTTGTATGAAGAAAGAGGTTCATGTGGTCAAAACCAAGAAGAAAAATCAAACAGAGGAAATAAACCCAAAATTATTCAGATGGAGTTTTCAGACACTGACATGAAAATAACATAACGGTCAATATATTCAACAAAGTAGATGACAAAATGGAGAATTTTGTTGACTACTGGAAACCATAGTAAATAATTTAGTGGAGATTGTAGATCTGAAATATACAAAATAACTTTGATTAGGATTTCAATATATGGCTTTAAAAGCAGAACCTATACAGCTGAAAAGTATAGGCAAAGTGGAAGATAAGTCAGATGCAAATATCTAGGCCAAATCACGTACAGAAACTAAAAGGATGGAAAATCTCAAAAATATATATGAATTGAGCTATCCTTTTAGATAAGTAGGTGTTCATCAATCAAGAACATTCGAGGGAGTCTGAAATAATTATAAAGCTTTATTCATTAGTTCTCACCCTCCACTGATTGCAGAGGGTCCCATAGAGCATTAATTCCCTGACACTTCTGGGTGGTGCCTACGTAAGTTTCAAATAGGCCATTCATGGTCTCATCTTGGCCACAGAGTATTTTAGGAAGAAAGCTAGATATATGGTTCATATTTTTTTTAAGTCTCTTAATTGATTGGAGAGAGGGAGAGAGGGACAGAGGACAAGCAGGGGGAGGGACAGAAGCAGAGGGAGACTAGACTCCCTCCTGAGCAGGGAGCAAAATGTGGGACTTGATGCGGGGCTTGACATGGGGCTCAATGTGGGGCTCAATGTGGAATTCAATCCCAGGATCCTGTGATCATGACCTGAGCCAAAGGCAGACGCTTTACCTACTAATCCACCCAGGCATCCCTACATGGTCCACATTGAAGAGGAGGTTCAGTGCATAGGGAATGGGTCAATGTCCACTTGGAGTAGTTGCCTGAAATAGGTGTGGCAGGAATTGGGGGGTGGGTCCTAGAAGACAGGCGGTGATATAAGGGAGGAGTTTGATACGGTTTACCCCTTGCTTTGCTTCTAGTCCAAATAATAAGGTCTTCAAGGTGGTGGCCAGCTGCAATCTGTACAAACACAGGGTTAGTTGTACAGGATTCGCTGCTAGTATGATACTCAAATCCCAAACGGGTGTTTATTATCTCCCTTCATCACCATTTCTAGAGTTTCTCCAACTTTGTTTGGTGCTTCAGTGGTCTAAGGTGTTTGCCTAACGGGTTGACCCAGACATTCATCTCTGAGGGTTTGGAGCCCCTTCGGTGCCTTTGCTTTGTCAGGCCAAGTTGACTGTAATTCACAATTGTCATTATCACCAGGAATGGAGGCACTGAGAGATGCTTTGATTAGTTCCCTGAGTCCCAGGTCAACCTTTCCCTGTCTCCACCGTGTAGCAGTAACTCTGTCACCTCATGAAAATCACAATCAGTACCTCCATCCTGACTTCTCCATCCATCCCAGCAAGATGAGCTCAAAATGACTAGGTAGAGTCATAATTGCAGTACACTGGGATTGTTACTATGTCCTGTGGTGGAAGCATCTATCCCTCCTCCTCCCCTCTCTTCAGGAATCAGAACTTCTTATCTAGAAGACCCTAAAAATACAGGGGAAAGGAATATGAATTTACAACTGGATCACTGCAAGAGATGATGAGATCCATACCCATCCTAACCCCACCCTATGGCTTCTGGATTCATGGATTCAACACATAGTCCCAATCTCCCCCCATTTGTTCAAATCATACCACATCCTAGCAATTATCACCCCAGCTTGACAGGTGTTCTAGCTGAGCTAGCCCCTTAGCAAAACCTTTACTAGGTCCTTTCTTCATTCCATAAGGTCAGATGCTTCTGAGAGATACCATATGTGAACAAAAATTGGATCCCATGGTTATATACCCATGATTTCATTTTCTTAGGTATCAAATGGGATCCTTTTGTCTCCAAATTTGTGTGGGAACTCACATCGCTAAGACAGTCATTCTCCAACCCTGAGGATAGTGGAGCTGCCATGGTTGTAACTGAGTCAATGAGTATTTCATGTAGGATCTGCTTACACCTTTTCCCCCTCCTATTCATTACTTGAGCTCATCCTGACTTATTAGGAGGAAATGCATTCCTTTGTTTTGAAGTTTTCACTCTAACTTTCCTGCCCCAACTGTTGAAGAACTGTCAAAGAACGCTTACGCAAAACCCAGACAGTTAATGGGGCTACCCCAAGTCAAGGTCATGGTGATAAGTTCATTCCTGTTCTGCTTCTAGATGCTGCTTGGTTTTTGCTGTTGAATTCTAATCTTGCTATCCCAGCTTGATTCTGGTGATTCTCTTGTTGGTCTAGACCGCTGTTGGCTTTGAAGTGGTGTCCCAGTGTTGCACTCAATCATTACCATTCTCTTAATTCATTCTCACATGGGTTATTGCATTCGGCACTTATTGGAAAGACTCATGGACAACTCAGGACCTTGTGCTGACTTGCACGTCCTTCTGAAGATGTGGGGTTGGAAATCCTCTCTACTCTCAGGCAAATACCATAGCCCTTCCTTGCTAGTCATTTCTCCAACTTGTGAGTTAAAATGGCTTTTTTGAAGCCTCTAAAACAAGACAAAACAAAACAAAACCCATGATGCAAAAGGAAGTAAAGAGAAAACACAAGTCATTTGATGGTCACTTCCTGAGCACAACTCTCCCAGCATTGGAGCCCAAAGACATGCTCTATAGTATCCATAAGGATTCTGCAAAAAATGTCCCCTGACCACTTCTGCCAAAGATATCCCACTTTGGTAATTTAATTTCAGATATTTGTGTATTTGCTTTTGGAGACAGCTGAATAGGCAAGTCCAACCGGAAAGGGATGCTGGGAGCTTGAAAAGAGGCAGAAACATGAAGATTTGTGCACAGGCTGGAGGGGTCTTTGCAAGGCTGTGTCTGTGCTGCTGGCACAGAGGTACGTGGCTGAGCCTCCCAGCTCTGTGGGCTGGATCTGCAGAGTGGAGAATGATCCATCAGTCCTTCTAGCTGAGAATCGATACTTGAATGTTTCAGACTTCTCCAAGAGAGTACTCTTATAGAATAAAACGAGAAACTCTAGTTTCTGCTCCAGGATCTGTCTGTACCAGTGCAGGAATAAGTGACCAGAGGTGGAGTCACACTTCAGGGGTAATCTCGTGCCCCTTTCTGTGACTTGGTGGCTGGGAGTCTGCCTGCATTCAGGTTCTGTGTGTCCTGTGGGAGGTTAAAGAAGCCAGAGATTGAATAAGGAAATGCCTTAGAAGAGCCTTGGGTGAATCCAAGATGAGAAATTCCCAGGACTCATGTGCTTCCAAGAGAATTAAAAATCACCCCACACAGGAGCCAGAAATCCATAGCAGGGTCAGGGCATGAATGAGTCCTCTGCTAGCTCAGGCCTCTGGTCATCAGAAGCAGGAAGAGACTTCTGAGCTGCCGTGGTTTTTAATTTGGTTGAGACATTACCACCCATTAGGGCTGAGCCTGTTTGGAGCTGGGACCGAGATTTGGAGCTGGGGCTGAGATCCAGGGTCTCACGTGTGTGGATGGAAAAGCCAGAGGAAGGTACCTGTTGGCAGGGATGGGTCAGCTGTGCTGTGGCCAGAGTGAATAGTAGCCCATGGAAGACTCCCCCGGGCCACGTGCTGACTGGATGCTGCTCAGATGCATGATGCTGGACCCTCTCTGGCCTGTGTTCAGTTCAGGCAGTCTGGAGCGAGGCAGGGCCAGGGTCCAGGCTGCGGGAGTCTGTGCCATGGACTCAGCATCCACTGAACCTTCAGGCAGCAGGAGGCTCTGGGATCTCTGGGGTCCTCCAGGAAATGCTGAGCTGAGCGTTGGTGGCCCCCACGGCTTCCTGGTTTGGAGCCCGGAGGTTTGTGCACAGGGAGAAGTTGAAGGTGCAGGGCTGTGTCCTTGCTGCTGGCACAGAGATACAGGGCAGAGTCCTCAGGCTCCAGGGTGTCTATGTGAAGGTCCAGCTGGGTGTTGTTTGGGCGATCAGGTAAGAACCGACTGGAAGCAGTCTCATTTTGAAGGAGATCCTTATAACTGTAGGCAAGCATGAGCTTTAGCGGCTTCTGAATACTCTGCTTATACCAGTACATAGCATTATGTCCCAAATGTTGTTTGCACTTCCGGGTCACATTCCTTCCTGTCCCGGTTACCAGATGTTTTGGTGTCTGGGTAACTCCAGTGCCCGTGGAGACTGTGGGAGCAAGAAACCAAATTTAGAGAGTCTTAGGAAGCCATTCCATGAAAAAAGCTAAAAGTCTGCAGACAGAGATATCCCACCTGTTCCCAGGACTCACCTGCCCACCACAGACAGAGGACCACCCAGCAGAGGAGCCTGCAGCCCATGACAGCACTTGACAGGAAGGGGCTCAGTGTCTCTCGGATTAGATTCTTGTCCTCATGCCCTGACAGAGGGTTTGCTGGTGAGGCCACTGTCCCTGTTAATTCTTCTAGAGCTCACATTCCCTCTTCCCCCTTACACCTGACACCAGCACCACCAGAGCCGGATTTGAGTCCTGGAGTGGCAGGACTGAGTGTACAGGGGCAGCTGCAGAGGACTAGGTCCATCCCAAGCTGCCTCAAGGAGGTCTCTCAGACACTTTTTTTTTTTTTTTGGCTAGTAGCTTCCTCCCCCACCTGCATGAATAATTCTTTCCTTTCTGTTTCAACTTGACAGTGCCTCCTCCACTCAGACACGCATTCCTTCCCTTTGGGCAGATGTCCCCCACGTTGCCTCTCATGGAGCCAGGATGATCCCACTCAAGCCTCATCCTGATTTAATGCAGAGAGGCCACCTTGCTTGGCTTTCAGAGCCTTTCCCAGTTGGGCATCACTTTAAGACACAGGAATTAATGCTAACTGGGTCGGAAGCACCTTCAGTGGGTACTGACGAGGTTACAAGAGAAATCTGCTGCAACTGGTTCCCCCAGAGAGTATTCTCCCCTATCTGGGGTGCTGAGCCTGGACATGGAAAGGACACACACAGAGGAAGCACAGGAGAGTAACAAAAGGTCCTACGGGTCGTGAGCCGTAGGGACAGCAGACATTGCCAAAGAGGCTGAAGAAGCACAACATGGACTGGATTTTAGTGTCCAGGTTGTCCACATACCATCTCCCAAGCTGGCCCAGGAGCAAACCCTGACGCCTGAGCATTCTCTTCCTTCTTGATCCTCGCCCCTCCCCCCATTCCCCTCCCTTCTTTTCCCAGTCCTGCCTCAGGGATTTCAGTGAAGTCACAGCTCCTCCTAGAGGTTAGGGGAGCACATTAACCTCCTCTGTGTCCTCGGCCTTCCATCCTCTGGAGGGCTTGGAGGGGAGCTTGGAGAACAAGGGCTATGCTAGTTTGTTCAACAAGCATTTTTGAGTAAGGCGAGGTTCTTATCCTCGAAATGCTACTAGACTCATAGGACCCATAGGATATGTTTTTAGATAACATCTAGTTTGGAGAGTTTTAGTGTATGTTTTAGGGAGGTTAAAATATAATTGGTTTTTATTTGGCTAAATTTCATTTAATCTACTCACCTTCTCACTTCCTCATCTCCAAAACCTGGACCAGGGGAGATTCTGAAAAACTGATCTCCAGCCCTCTGTTTAACTCTAAAACAGCATGAGCCTTTTGGGATAAGTTTCTACTCAGATGTTTACTGGATTGCTAGGCTAGGACATTCCTGTCTCCGCCCCCCCCCCCCCCGCCCCCGCCTTAACAATATGTAAGTAACACTTTGTAGGTACTTAATGCATACTTGTCGAATGAAGGAATATATGAACACAGTAGAAAATAGTAAGAGACCACACATGAGTCTAACCATTAAAAAACTGTTTCCAAATGTGGTATGGTCAGCACCTGGTATATTTGTACCGGTGGCTTATGGAAATTGAGGGCCTGGTATCAGGATTTGAGATAGAAATGGGAATGATAAAGAATTAATTTGCTTGGCATGAAGGAGCTTTTGGTACTAATTTGTATTTTAAAGGATAGGTAAGTCAACCAGAGAAAGTCAATTATCATATGGTTTCACTTATTTGTGGAACATAAGGAATAGCATGGAGGATATTAGAAGAAGGAAGGGAAAAATGAAAGGGGAGAATCAGAGTAGGAGATGAACCATGAGAGACTATGGACTCCAGGAAACATACTGACGGTTTCAGAGGGGAGGGGGCTGGGGGCATGGTGAGCCCTGTGATGGGTATTGAAGAGGGCACAGATTGCATGGAGCACTGTGGGTTATACGCAAACAATGAGTCATGGAACACTACATCAAAAACTAATGATGTACCATATGGTGACTAACATGACACAATAAAAAAAAAAAAGAAGAAGAAATAACTAATAAGTACTTGGAAAAGTACTCAAAAAAAACCCAAAAGATAGGTATAATAATTTTCCAGCGTGTATCAAGCATCATTCAAAGGAGATTCAGAAGTCGAAAAATCGTTTCTGTTCTTAAACCATCCTTGTTTTCGGGGCCCCCATAAGGGTGAGTATTTGAGTATTTCCTTACAATATAGCACAAGAATATATTCTAGGCTCATCTTGTCCTTTCCCTGCCCATCGTGACATCAGCTATTTCTCCAAAGAGCCCTGGATCCTTTTAGTGGTTAATGGTCTCTAGAAAATGAGAGATGGGCACTAGATCTGGGTTTTGGGGATGCTACCACTCACAGGTCATCCATGGATGGAGTCTAGGGAATACATGTTTGTGTATGTTACCACATAAATCCATATGTCTTAGCATGTATCTTTAATTCTGTATCTATCTACACATATTGAGAAAACCAGAAGTTTATACCACTAATTTCAGTTCCAGTTGCAATATGATAAGGTTCATCCTAGGGTTCTAGCATTCTCCCTTTCCATATTTGCAATTCCCTTATCCAATGCTAAGAAACCTGGGTCCTGTTGTCCTTCATGGATGTACATATTTGATCCATGTCCTCACAAGTGCCCAACTGTCCACTGCAATGGCAACTTTCTCTCCTTTGCACACTCCCGCCTCGCCCTACTCGGGATCTGACACCATGTGCCTGGAAGTCCTCTCCATGTCGGAATTCTCCTCAGCTCAGTTCAGTTTCTGATACGCGACATGGCTCATGGCCAGCCCATATGGATAACATTCTCAGCCTGCTGGGGCTTCAGTGGCCTAGACCAGCCTGCTCGCCTCAAGCACTGACCTCCTGCTATGTTCTGGTCACCGAACAGCCATTGACTATGACCCTAAAGAAGATCCCTGATTGCAATGGGTTATGTGTGGACAGGGGAAATAAAATAATAAAAAATAAAAACCATAGGGTATATATCTTTGGTTTTTTGTGTGTGAATATTCTGGATGGTAAGACAGCCAATATTGAGATGATGCAACTAAAAATATTACTGATCATAAAATAATAGGGTACAAGCTGTACTCATCAGCACTGGAAGGATGTGTAGAAAAATGTTTATCATTGGGGGATTTTCATGGATGGAGAAGACATTTTGAAGGAGGGGAGTTTAAGCCAAATCTTTAAGCAACCTAGTCCTGTACCAGTTTCTTTTTTCCTACGAACTAGTTATATTACATCATCTAAGAAGAGGCTAGCATCTAGCTTCAACTCCTATATTGGGATGTTATTTTTCAAGTAACATGAGGCAACTTTTGGGGTTGCCTTTTGAGATTTGTTCTTGCTACATAAAGGGACAGTGGAGACTCTGTTGGCCTGGAAGCTTGGCTTTTCTTGCTTCTCCTGTTCACTATTCTAGAACCCATAATTTTCTGCTGCCTCTGACCACTTACCTCTTAATTATGACTCTCCTGATCCTGTATCACCAAGGGACAAGACCAAGAACAATGGTTGAAAGCTTTAAACAGTTTTCTGGCTCAACACAAGGACAAACTTTCCAACTGGATGGTTGAGAAGGTACTGTGATCTCCTTTCTGCAATAAAGGCCAGAAGACCGTTTGTGAGATGTTGTAGATGGGGCCCAAATGTCTGATGGGGCAAAGAGGAACTTGAGCATTTACTGTATGCCAGAGACAGAGCTATAGACTTAAAGAATTTAAATATAAAATATTTGCTTTGGGAGCTCATAATCTAGTTGAAGGAACAGACAAGAAAATAAAAACTTGCAAGAGAATTTAGAAGTCTTAATAGCAATATATACAGAGCTTTAAAAAGGTTTCAGAAAGGTAACAGAGAGCTACCTAACAAATCAGAGGCTGCATATGGTGGAGTTAGGGATGGGCACAGATAAATGTCAGAGGTTAATTCTAAGGAGAGATGATGCCCAAGGTAAATTTTAATGGGTTAATCAGAGTTCACTAGCAAAGAAGTGGAGGAGGTAACCCCCTTCAGCAATTACTTACTGAACAATTATTATTTAATTTTTTAATTTTTTTATTAACATATAAGGTATTATTAGCCCCAGGGATACAGGTCTGTGAATCACCAGTTTACACACTTCATAGCACATACCTTCCCCAATGTCCATAACCCCACCACTCTCTCCTTAACCACCTCCCCCCGGCAACCCTCAGTTTGTTTTGTGAGATTAAGAGTCTCTTATGGTTTTTCTCCCTCCTCATCCTATCTTGTTTCATTTATTAATTTCCTGCCCCCCAAACCCCCCACATTGCATCTCAACTTCCTCATATCAGGGAGATCATATGATAGTTTTCTTTCTCTGATTGACATTTCGCTAAGCATAATACTCTCTAGTTCCATCCTCGTCATTGCAAATGGCAAGATTTCATTTCTTTTAATGGCTGCATTGTATTCCATTGTATATAATTACCACATCTTCTTTATCCATTCATCTATTGATGAACATCTAGGTTCTTTCCATAGTTTGGCTATTGAGGACATTGCTGCTATAAACATTCGGGTGCATGTGCCCCTTAGGATCACTACATTTGTAATCTTTAGGGTAAATACCCAGTAGTGCAATCGCTGGGTCATAGGATAGCTCTACTTTCAACTTTTTGAGGAACCTCCATACTGTTTTCCAGAGTGGTTGCACCAGCTTGCATTCCCACCAACAGTGTAGGAGGGTTCCACTTTGTCCACATCCTCGCCAGCATCTGTCATTTCCTGACTTATTAATTTTAGCCATTCTGGCTGGTGTCAGGTGGTATCTCATTGTGGTTTTGATTTGTATACTGAACAATTATTATGTGTCAGATATGTGTTGGCTTTGAGGCAGAAGAGTAAGCAAATCAGACATTAGCTGTGCCCTCAGGAATTTTAAATTACCTGGAACAATCAACACTACACAGATACTCACACAATTAATATAAAATTGGAAGTAAGTGTAATAAAAGATACATAAAGGCCAACAAGAAAACTCAAGAAGGCCTGACTGGAGCTGGAGA